TGGTTATGTTCGTAATATTCTTAATGAACAAAAACGATCAGATTTTAAACCAGAAAGTGATCTTTTTATATCTGAATGTTCACCTGTAAGTTTATTTATCGTTTTGTTTTCTCAAGAATTTATATTATTTGTTTGCCATTTCATATAGATATGTAAACGAGTAGTACGTTCAATTGATAATCAAATTGTTCGGCTTGATCAAACAGTTGATGGAAAAAATTTAACAAGTATTTTAAATGAATTTGGTCTTCGTTTCCATCGTTTAATAACAGATCATGTTTTTAAATTTGAATATAATATATCAGGTTTTAAAAACGAAAAACTAACCTATTAGTTTCAATTTTATTTTTATTTAGGTGGCTTAATGATGTTACAAGATATAAGTGAATATAAAAAATGTTCAAAAAAATTTCGTAGTTCAACTGTTGAACAATTATTTTCTATTTTGCATGCACTTGTTAATTTACTTGTTGTTGTTCCTGATAATCTTCGTCAAGTTATTACAGAAGGACATCTTGTATGTATTTTAAATTTGATTAAAAACACAGAAAAAAATTTTTATTCGATTGTTGTTTTTTTTTCTATTAGGCATCATTAACACGAGATATAATTGAATCATTTGTACAATTACGTACAGATTATAAATCAGCTAGATTACATGCAATGATCACTACTGACCAATAAATATTAATATCTATTTTCTTTTTCTTTTTTATTTAATAAACGTAATTTGTATGCTATCTAATCGAAAAAATCTTTATCTAAAATGATAATTCTACTTTCACAACAATTCTATCAGACAAATGTGTTTCATTATCAAAATGGAGAAAAGATTATAGTGGTGTTTATTTAGGGTTCTTTTTAGAAGAAGGTCTACCAAAGATGTATTATATGCCCAGTTCGTTGAATATTGAGTCCGTAGACGTAGTATATACGTTCCGTGTACAAACATATTAGATGGTCTAGTATGACGATCGTATATATTTCCATGACCATATACGAAGAAAAACTAAAGTTGTATGCGGAACATACACGACCGTAAATGGTTGTATTTTTTTTGTCATCGTACACGGTCGCAGACGGTCTTATTTTAACCGTATACAGCCGTGAACCATCATCCTGTATGCCAATACCTTTAATATACGATGATTCTTCCCATATATTACACTCATCTCAACTATAACACATAAAATCGGTCGAAAAAATAAAATAAATAGTTTATACTTTCTTTGGATTGCGTCAGTGTCGTCACATGATCTGAAATGCAAGTAAAGCTACCTTTCTCAACTTGTTTAATTACGTACACGTTTTCACAACAGTTTAATAAAACTGAACATACGTCAACCGTATATCATAGTGCACAGTGACGTACGGCAGTCGTAGTTCTCTGTACGAAGGAGAAAAGTTTATTCTTTTGCCTGCCCGTGTACAAAATCCGTTTCTGATCGTTTCGCTTCGTATACACTAATTGTACATGAAATCTATTTACGATCGTGTCTGTTCAACCTGGATAAACGCCAAAATACAGAGGCTTCAGCATCGAAACTTTTTAATACCAGTATGGTAATCTATCTTGAGTAAAGATGTAAGCCACTACTAAAAATAGATACTAAAATTTTGACATCTAGAATCGATTATCGAAGATGTTTATGGTTTAGTTTCTTTTCTCTATCACCTCTTACAGCATTTTCCCCTGTGTTTTTATTTGGAAACTTGTAGAAACCAATAAACTGTTTCAAAGAAGCATTGAAAGATTGCAGTCTCTCATTAATGTATTGACATAAACATCTACCCATATATTAACTGGTTGTATACAAAAATCGAGAATAACTTTATTTCATCGATGAGAAAAGGAGCGAATATATATAGAACATCTATAAAGGTTGAGAATCTTTTTCAATAATCTCGAAATCATCCATATTAAGAAAAGAGAAATAAATCATAATGTCATTGTACAGTAGCAGATAAAAAAAAGAGACCATTTGAAAACGACCTAGACGACAGGGCGAACAAAATAGAACATGCATGAAATGAAAAATGAAGCAATCTATGATTTTTATAGCCTTGAAGATCTAATAATTTAATATAAATAAAACAATTTATTCTACAGAAAAAAAAACTGATACACCAACGTATGTAACACTACCGACAAATGGTTAATTAAAAGAAAAAACCAATTAATGGGTACTACATACTTGTATTGTCCTCCTAGAAGGTCTGGTCCCATTTCATTGAAAAAATAAGAATGCTTAATTAATTTTTATACTTCATCAACAGATTTTTTTCGCTTTTCATTGACACATTTTTTTTTAGTAGTATTCTATGAAGAAGAATAAATACGAATTTGTTCTAGAGAAAATTATCCTAATAGTAGAAATAAGAACATTAATCAATAGTTCATAACATAATGATAACAAAATATTCATCTAATCATAAACAATCTTTTGTCATATCATTTGATTAAATCAAAAACTCGTTGATTTTGAAAAGTAAATTACTTTATTTCATGAAGGCTTGTTCATATGGTTGTCAAATTGTTTAATCGTAGTCATGTTGAACGCATAATCTTTTTCAAATTTAATAACCACTACATATAAATTTGGATTGGAGGTAACAATATTTGTATTAAATCAATGGTATCCACCTTCCAGTTCAGGTGTGTAAATACAAGAATAGAGAAGCTCAATACCTACACTCATTAATCAAGAGTATTTTTCTAGTCTTTCTATTAATGATAACATTGGTTTTACAAATATCAGATAGTGTCATTACTATTTAGTTTATTTCTATCTCTCTAACACAAGATTACTTGTGCCAAAGTTTAAAAATAAATTTGTCGATGAAACGGGGAGATGTCAAAAAAGTCGAACATTAGAAGTAAAAGCAAAAATATTCTTATTTCATTTGACAACGATAAATATCAATGCAATAAAACGTTTTTATATAATTAATTTCAGCTGTTTTTGGAACTATCGCAATTATATTTATTATCATTGAAATAGCTGCGTCTCATTGAGGTGGGGCATTTTAATCTATTCAACTGTAATATGTCTTAATGAAAAGAAAATACTACGAAAGTTTTTTTTTTGGATAGTAGTTAGTCTCTTGACAATTGTCATGATACTCACAATTACTACAACTCGTCGAGAAAAATTTCGATAAATTTCAAAACATAAACATAACTTTTGTTGGTCTAACTGCTTGTTTCATAGTCTCCAGATACTTACGTGCAATATTTATTGACTATTAAAATTTTCATCTGGTAGTTATCGTTGATGTCTTGACCTTATGGTCAGAAAAAAAATTTTTACTTATTGGCTTGAACACCCTAATCACAATTTTGTACTAGGTTTTTGTATTTATAATGTGTTCATTTTAACACATTTTATCAGCTTTCAAAATTGTATACATGTTCATATTCTCGTTTTATGGTTTTTATATATTAATGCGATTCGATCAATGATTAAAGAATTCAATAACAGCAACCAGATTCATTCTATGATTGAAAGATGAAGATTTTTACACTTATCAATATCAAATATAAAAAGAAAGCGATGACAAAGCTCTTTGTCTATCTTTGTTAGTGATGTCTCCTCCTTTTAATTTTTCAACTTGAATTAGGATCTGACCGCAACTATCGAACGTTCATCGAGCAAGTTTATGTGATCATTCAACCGTAGCTATTTCGATGGTACACAACAAATGAAGACGACGAAAAAAAGAGAACAGACTCAAATATGAATATATATAGAAAATAATAAGGTGTAGACAACGACATATAACGATCAACCATTCATCAAATTGGACATTCATACAGCGTGACCCTCATCTAGAAATCTTCTCTTCGTATATCCACATGTTATGATTTTTTTATTCGATATTCTTCTTTTTTCTTGTTTGGATAAAAGTTTTAATTAAGATTCAAATAAGAACAGAAAACTGTTGTAATTGGTAAAATGGTCAATTCTTGTTTGCATCTTCTTCTTTTTTATTATTATACTTTTTTTGTACATTAAAAGAAGAGAAAAAAATGATGGTGATGATAGATAACCATCTCTCATATTAAAGTTGGTGTACCAGTATCCTTCAGTTGCTCATTTCGTATATATAACGAATGCATAGTGAAGTGAAGATGTACGGGTGAGAGAGAAGAGAAAAAAATACGCTTATTTTTTTCGAATAATTAAATGTACAATGACAGATGTATATGTTCGTCAATCTATTTCTTCTTTTTTGAATTTAGTATGAGTATAAAATATATTTTCCGTTTCGTTCGAAAAAAATGAAGAATATATAACAAGATATGTTTTTTTGCTGTTCATCATACGTCTTCTTCTTCTTCTCTTTTCTCGTGTTAAATTTAGTAATTTTTTTCTCTCTATATATCTTTCAATCAGTAGCACAAAGAACAAGTATAGTGTTAGAGTTTGCATAACCGTCACTTAATGAACAAAATAAAAAAAGAAGTCGAAAGTTGTATGCGCGAACAAGTAAGTGAAAATCTTGATAAGTACATGCAAGTGTTGAAGACAAACAACTTCGCATGTTCACTATTTCATGACAATATTCAAGGTTTCAATCAGGAAAGATATATATATACGTTTGTATGTATCTTTTTTTTCAATCAGTATAGAATGATAACCGTAGAAGACGAAAAAAGTATTGACATTTTTCTTAGAGTGACAAGCATTTTTTTCAATTACAAAATACAAACAGTTTTGAATTGGTGACTTCTGGTTCGTCTGATAGTTATGTAAACGTAAAAAGGAAAGAAAGAGAAATATAACCACACTATTCTGTTTTTTTTATTACTAAAAGTATGATTGTGTGTTTGCGTGCATTTTGTGAAAATGTTTCTTGATTTGATGATATCTTTTCAGGTAACATCAAATATTTTAAATTGAATCTATTTTTGTTTTATTAATTGAGGGTTATATTGTATGACTAATTTTTAGATTTGAAAACTTTGTTTCTTCGTTTGTTTTTTTTCAACTGATATCATGTTTCCAACAAGTGCATATAATCCAGCTTCGATCGGTTTTCCATTTCCTGGTCAACAACTAGCGACGTCACTTTATCAATCTCAATTTGGTGGTCTGGCTGGATTTAATCCTCAAGTTGCAACACATTTTCAACAAGCTCCACCACCACGTGGTCAATCTTTACCAGCATCAGGTCGACAATATCCACCACCAACTGGTACTTATGTGCCACCTCCACCATCATCATCGTCTCGACGTCAAAAACATAGCCAGTTTCCACCACCAGCTCCATCTCAATATTACGAACGACGTAGCAGACATGGATCAAAAAGTACGTGTTTGTTTACTTGTATCAAAAACTTGTTTTATTGAATAAATTAGGTAAAAAACATCATAAACGACAAAGTCTTTCACCCAGTGCTGTTGGTGAGCAAGGTTTATACTCTGATCATGAACAACAACGTCATGAACAATCACAAGAACAACAAGTACATAGTCGAAGTCAATCACCTGCATTGGCTACTCATTCGAAACAACAAGGAACTAGTGTTAGTGAGCAACAACAACAATCTGAACTTGTTGAAGGTATCCATGGTGGTGCAACACAAGGAGGAGTAGCTAGATCCGAAGAAGCACAAGCTGATATAGAAAGTGACAAACGAAAATCAAGTTCAAAGAAAAAAAGACATCATCGTCGAGATCATCATGGTAATTATAATATTCCACCACCTCAAGGTGTGCCACTTGATACTAATCTTTATCAACAACCATATCAACCACAACACTATACTCAACACCAACCTTACGTTGGAGAATATCACAGTGAATTACCTCCACAATTAAAGGTAAATCATTTTCTTATAACACATAATAATTCACGAAGAAAAAAATCATTTCAATTGATAGGTTCATCGTCAACCACTTTACACTGGTTATAATCAAGCTTATGAAGAATCTATTCGACGTGGTGATGTTTCTCGTAAATATGCAAAACGTTCAACACGTTTACCACCTGAAGTTAAACAACAATTATTTCCTCATGAAGATGATCAATCAAATCAACCTCCACCAGCGCAAAAACAACAACAACAACAACAACAACCATATCCATTTGGTCCTACTAATTCCGGATATCCTCAACAACCATTCGGTAGTATTCGCCCACCATTTAATCCATACCAACCCTATGGTGCTTCACAAGTTCAACCAAGTTATTATGGTTCCACACCTGGTTCTGCACCTTTCAATGCTTTGCAACCATGGTCAAATATAGGTGCTATTCATGGTTCAAGTGAACAAGAAGTTCAACATTTACGTCAACGTATTCGTACATTAGAAGGTGAAATATATAAATTACAACGAAAACTTAATAAGACAACATTAAATAAAACTGAAGCAACACGAGAGCAAGATAATCATTATCAAGATGAAACAATTCGTTCTCATCGTCGATCAAAACATCATAGTAGTGGATCACCAAGACAAACACCAGTTATTGTTGAATTAAATCATGCTACAGGTGAAGCTATTCATGATTCTTCATCAAAAAAGCATCGACATCGTACATCTAGTACTATGAGTTCACAACATGAACACCAACATTTTCAACAAGATTCAGCAACTGGTATAACATCTAATCAAAATCAAAATCAACCAATATCAGACGCACATCAGCTGTAAGAATTTTAGTATAAAAAAATAATTTATTTTTTTTGTTTGTTTAAGTTCACAAATCGATGGTCGTCAAACGTTTGAAGTAGAACATAGATCTTCAACATCAACAGATATACGTGAAGAAACACCTGCACAATTAGTACATGAAGCTGCAGCTCATGTTAGTAATCGTCAAGGATTTGTTGGTGTTCCACTTCAACAACAAGCGCCTGCAACTGTACCAGCACCAACACAAGCTTCAGTACCAGCTCCAGCTCCAGTACCAGTACCTATACCAGCACCACCTCCGCCTGTTTCACAAGTAGGACGAACACAATTATCCAGTCAACAACAACAACAACAACAATTTTTATATCAACAAGGTGTCTTACCACCTCAAGGACAACAAATTCGTGGTCCACCACCACGTTTCCCAGCTGCTGGTAATGTTGTTTATCCAAGCGATCCATATCAACAACAACAATTCGTTAATCCTCATCAACGTGTCTTACCTAATCAAAATTATAATCAATCAAATAATAATGAATTATATGATAATGATGATGACGAAGATAATGAGGAACGTCGTCAACAAGATAAACAAAATCGTTCAGCAGAAAAAATTCTTGATGCATTTGAACGTTTTTATATAAATCGTGGTAAACCAACAACAGTTCCAATGAAAGTTAAATATATTCCAGAAGATAACAATAGTAATCGAAAATATTCCAATCATTATCATCAACGAAATACAAATAATAATAATCGATATCGTTCAACAAGTCGACAAAGTCACATTAGTAGTGCATCATCGGAATCTATTTATTCCAATTCACCATCTTTTTCACGTCGTTCATTATATGATAATAATCATCGAAAATCGGTAAATAAAATGTCTTTTTGTTCATATAAGGTTCATTTTACACTTACATTAGAACCTATCGTGCTGTTCTTGAATTCGATTGAGTGAAAAAGATGCAGAGTGCGCTAATTATAGAACATAAAAAACTTGAAAAAAAAATATCTCTTATGTTTGGACCAACTATCTAATGCCGAGTAGAATATTTCATTGATAGTATCAACGAATGGTTTGACTCAGTCCGAAAAAGTTTGATCAATTGGATCCGAATTGAGTTCAGCTCCTAGAAATATTTAATAAATTCAATCTGAGTCTGTGTCTGAAAATCTTGAACCCAATGGGTTCTAACTTACATAGTTTATAGTGTAATGGTTATCATATAGGCTTTACATGCGAAAAAGCTGCAGGTTCAATCCCTGCCAGAGTTATTTTAATTTCATTGTTTTTCTTTTTTTATATATTTTAGACAACCAACTCGTTCATATGATGATTACAGATTATATTCATCATTCGATTGATCGTGAGAATGGAAGTCGAGGATACCTTATGTGCTATTGTTTTTTTCTGTCAATGTAGAGACGAATATAGATTGCTCTCGAATACAAAAAATAAGGCACTCAATTCAGTCTTATTTATTGTTTCAATTTTCTTTTCTTTTTTTCTTTTTCATTTTACATTTATAATAATTCAACTAATATTTCAGCTATTTCATTGATTAAAAATAAAAATATAAAAATAAAAAGTGTTTCTTTCTCTTTTTATTGTTGTAAAATTTGATTTTTTTTCTTCTTTTAATTATTTCTCTTACTCTCCTCTCTTAGTTTTTTTGCTCCTTAGAATTAGACGTTTACTCGTCATCTTTTGATTATTTCCATACAATAATTTTTTTCTGTCTTGTTCTTTATATTTATTTCATTTTTAATACATTTTAATTCATTTTTCTTCTTGCTTCTATCAAGCAAATTACTAATTTGTGTGCATCTATCAAATTTGTACTTAATCAAGTATCTTCAAATTTGACAACACACATGTCACTATGTATACACGTTGAATATTTATCATAAAAATTAATCGATTGAGTTATAAGCATCAAATAAAGAAAAAAAGAAAAACTTTTAATTAAATAAAATCAAATTTGTTCATGAAATGTGTAATTTATTCAATAAAAAAAAAGGCGAAGTGTATAATATCTTTTTTTGTCGTTTTACTAAATGATGACGATTGGTTGTTGAAAGAACCTTGACAATAAATATTAAGATTTGTTTTGAATCTAATTAAAAGATTATATCAACTCGATCAGTTTTCTTTTATCAGCAATATCATGTGCTAAAGAAGTCAAGGTCATGAAAATTAAATACGAGAAACGTGCGACAGATATTCTAATTCAATTCATTCCTATAGATTTAATGAAATAAATCAATGAATTTTATTCGAGGCTTTTTCTGGATGCTACAAAAATGAAATAAAATAAATTATTTTTACATAAGTATTCGATTCTTTCTAAATACAATATTTTATTATAGAAGATAATAATTAATGATGTGATTTTATGAAAAACTTTCATACATTGATAAACAAATGTTTTCAACAACATTATTATATCTCTGCTGAATATCATTTTGACATGAAAAACAAGGAAGAATAATCTTGTGTTTAGACTACCTAGTAGCATATTCAGTAACTCGATAACTTCTCTATAAACGATACTAGCTGTACCACTACATAGAAGGCTATTTCAGTGCAGGGTTTTCGTGCTCAATGGTTTGAACTCCTCATACATACGAGCATACTCTCGGATAGCTGATCCGAGACCAACAGTCATCCATGACTTGTTCAAGGTCATTTTATGACTAGTAATGCCAAGGTTTGTATAGAGTACCTTGTGAATATGTGCCGAACAGCATAGTCGCTCAACCGTGGTGGCCCCTAGAAAAACAAAAATTTCTCTGCAGAATACTTTTACCGAAATTGATATGTTGACACTCAAGACAATATTCGTTTTATGTCAATAACATGCAAAGTTCGAAACATGAAATAAGGTATTGATTATATGAGGGTATTGCACATCTATTGTACTCTCATCTTTCAACATGTATATTGAAAATAATTGTGGCGTGTGGTTTCATTACATTTATTTCAGTAGTTTGAAGACGTATAAAGCTTAAAACATATTAACATGATATTCCTTTTAAGCTATCGATCCATTTTTTTTTCGAAAATAAAAGCCCTCTGAAACTTTCAACGATGATTAGTTGTGAAAAGAATGATCTAAATTTTGAGAATGTCGAATATATTTTTGCTCAGATTCATGTCTAAACTATAGTTTCACGACATCCTTTTGTTACAGACACAGTCAACAAATCGTGTCTCTCTATAACTTTCGCCATTTTTTTTCATTTCTAATACAAGATAAAAATCATACTTTTTCATTAAACAATAGAACGCAATCTCAATAACGATTCAAATGAAAAATTCTAGATGTCAACTGCAATAAATTTTTTTGAACAAAAATAAGTCTTTATTCACACATCTCTGTCTTGCCATTAGAAGAAAACTTTCCATTAAATATCTAAAAAAAAAACGTTGGTCGCGTGACTTGACAATTATATCTTTTATCCTTTTGAACATCATCTAACTAAGACATATAAAATGGACTCCATTAGCTCTACTATTCAGGAGAAAATCGTAAAATATATGCTAAATGTCTTGATATATATAAACGTGGGCTAAATGTCGCAGTATACATCACACAGAATATTTTGATTTCGCAGGGCTAGAATCATTTGTATAGTGCAACATTTAGTTTCTCGAGATATTAATAATCACTTGAAATGTTGCAAGCTAGATGCTACATACAATTAAAAAAAAGCGGTTCTCTAGGAAGCTGTTTTAATAGACAGCAGCATTTTCTATATGTTGTTCGAAGACTTTGTCATATATTTCTTAATTAAATGACTCAGTTGATGTAATCTTTTCCGGATAAACATGTTTCCTGTTGCTTAACATTTTACCAGTCAGAAATATTGTCTCAGAATCAAAACCAAATGTGGTTAATAAGGTTTCGGAGACTTTGCAGTTTTTTAAAGGTTTCTTAAACTCATGCTTCATTAGATCTATTAACTGGTATATGACAGCACATATAAGATTTTACTCCGACGTCTACACTAGAGCTTCAATTCTCTTTCAAAATCTTAGTCATTCTCGGATTTTTCACCATCATCTGTATAGAAAAAATTTGTTTGTGTCAAACGATAATACAATATATTAAAATCTTTTACTAGCACTTCATTCATAAGTCGTACTTTCATTACTTTGTTTAATGAAATAATTCAATACACTTATAAATACTTACAAATCTGACCTAGTTTATCATCCAACACTTTCATTATACATGTCTTCATGGAGTCATCTGTTATTTGATATACAAGGACAAAAAAAAGCAGGCATTTCTCTATTATAAGATTGATAATCAATATATGATCTTGTGTTAAAGAATATTGCTGATACTAATTTTAGATTGAAACGTTCCTTCATTGTCAAAAACAGATTGATTATATCTAGAAAACTCCAAATAACACCAGGAAATAATTTATTTTTCTTAATTATCTAATACTTGTCAAGAAAAATAAATCGACTATTTCTTATTTCCGACGAACACAATGTGAATAGGTCAAAAAATTGTGACAAATAAAAAAGAAAACAAATATCATTTTGCAATCTTTTGCATCAATGACTTCAAGTAAACATCAATAGTCTTAAAAATACGTCTCGCAATCAATTCATCAATCAAAATCCTTTCGATGTTTTTCCTCTCTCTAGAAACATGTGTGCCATAGAAGAAAAAATAATAGCACTTAGGGAGGAAACGTCTATGTTGTCTTTATTTTTCTCATATAGATAGCCTATTTGTCTTTTTTGTGCTATCATGATAAAGGAAAAAATATGCATGAATAATGGGTAACAAGCAACGATATTTCTTCTCTTTTTTTCTGTTGTAGCATCGATACATATTTCATTATAACAGAAAATTTTTTTATTGAAAAGAATGTGGTTTTCTACCATTACTATTTTCTTATTTTTACAAATAAATATTTTTCTTCAATCCGATGATAGTATTTGTCATACACCATCAATGATTGATTTTGTTCGTGATTCATTACCGATGATATGTTTCGGTTCTGAGTCAGCTGGTGTTTTAAATTATTCAATGGATAATGTCGAATTTTATAATGCACATTGTCGTGTATATCAAGATATAAAACAATGCTTAGAAACAAAATTAAAAAAATGTGACACTATACGACCTGGTTTTAATCGACATATATTAAATTTAATTGAAAGTTATCAATTACCATTAGAATATTTTGATTACAATGCAAAAATCTATGACGACAATCATTATTTACAAAATTTAATACCATTTTGTGATGGAAATAAACTTTCAAGTATGATCAAAGGATTTTTTTCGTTTATTAAAATGAAATATTCTATTTTATTTCAGATCATTTTCTACAACAATTTGATCGTTCGTTATTAAATTGTTTAACAAAAACAGCTTTAACAAAACATAAAGAATGTTTAACGACATTTAAACAAAACATTCAAATAATATTACAAACAAGAGCATCATTAAATGAAATAACGAAATGGTCAGAAGATTTTCTTCGATGTATTTATAATGCAATTCCAGCAAGTTGTCCAACAGCAACAAAAGAAGTGTTCGTTTTTAAAGAATTATTAGCTGTACCTGATAAACATGATTTATCAACAACAACATCATTAAATATTACAAAAATTGTTAGACAAAAATTACCGAGTCAAAATGTTGAAGGATTTGCACAATCAAAACGTGCTACGTCATCAATTCATGGTATAGATATGTATTGAAATACAAAAAAGAATATTTTTTGTTTATCCGTTTCTTGTCTTTCAGACCTTTATTGAAGAAAATTCCCACATTCTTAGAAGAATTTTTTATTTATTATGAAAGACCTTGAAGATATGAAACGTACGATCGATAATTGTGCGACATTCTCTTTGTGATTTATTAGATGTCAGAAGAAACTATAATGTTTTGCATGCTATTAGTCAATGTAAAGAGTTTTAGTTTTACATTTGCATTCATAAATTCATTTCGTATATTGAATTGCATAAGATAAGGAACAGTTCATTAATCTCTAATTTTAATAAATGTACTGTTATTTCGATTTAGAATTATTCACATCAGGATTGTTGAGATTTTTTGAGGATGGAAGGAATAGAAAAAAAAAGGGGGGAAAAGAAAGAACGACACTCATTGTAGCCCACGCTCTCTTACAACAGAGAACAATGGAGAGCCAAATGGTGTTTCTACAAAGTCACCAGGAAGCTGTAAAAAATTGACAAAAATACAAACATTTTTCGGAAGAGTTTCCCTTATCGAGAACCTTTATTCAAATAGTACAATAATCATTTTTTTCGGAAGAATCTTTTTTTTGTAGCTTAAAATGACATACACATACACACACTATTAATTTAAGCTTTATCAATCATAAATGCACTAGAAGATTTATTGAATTTAGATAATAAACGTAATTTTTGTCTTAGGTGATCCACATATTATTCCACTTCATACAACAAAAGCAATAACATGTAAATTATTAAGCAATCGTACATATATATCTAATCCTCATTTTAAAATAACTGGTATATCGAAATATGTTGGTGATCCTGAATTAACAGCTACAGCAATCACATCTTTACAAATTGATTTTTTTAATTCAAATGGTAGTTTAATTGCATATTATCGAACATTCAATGGAAACCTACCATTAGAATTAATCTCTCTTGATTCATTATCACCATCAATTATAAAAGTTGATCATGATGAAAAACATTCAAATCAAGTTCATTTAACATTAACTCATATTCCCACATCAACACAAATAATAGTTAATGTGTGGTCAAAATTTTATTTTTTTCTTGTTCGTTCATCTGAAATATTGTTAAATAATTCTGATGGATATTTAATAACAGGTTGTCCACAAAATGAAATTATTGATCGACAAGCAATAATTACACGTTTAAAAGAACGTTTTGCACAAAGTCAACGACAAGTTTCTGTTGTTACAACACGTCAACGTCGTGAAATAATTTTAGATGAATCAAAATTACCACAAGAATGTGAACATATTTGTTCATTAAATGAAAATGATTTTATTGATGAATGTATATTTGATTGTTTAGCATTAGCATCAAAAAATGTTACACAAGCATTACATGTTAATCAAATGCATATTACAACCAGTCGAGAACGACGACAACTTATTGAAAATGATGATCGTATTGTTCATGAATTTAAAGAATGTTATAAAAAAGGTGTAGCATGTAAAAAAATGGAAGATCCTGATCTTATAAAAGATAATGGAACAAAAAGACAAACTTCTCTATTAATAATAATTATTATGTTATGGTTTATTTTAGTATTGAAATAATGTTTGACTTGTTTTGGTTTTTTTTTCTTACAGAATTTTTTTTTTCATAATTAATAAAAATTATATTTTAATTTAAAAAAGAGATATTGAAGATTAGCAGGCAGATAATGGTTCAAACGAAAATAAAGTAACCTACAATTGGGAATTATTATTCACATCAATAAACTATTAAAAGAATTTTTTTCATCTTACATTAATCAAATGCCTATAGTGATATTCATGGAATCGATGTTTTATTTAAATTTTTTGTTCCAGAATGGTAATCTAAAACGTCTAGAGGACAAAACCTGTTTTTCACACCAGAAACACATAGTATGTCATACAATAACGATAAACTCTAAAAAGGTCACTGCCTTCTTACGTTAGCCTTCACATTGAATAAAATTCTACATAAAATATATCCTATTTCATCATTGTGTGTTATTCTTTTTTTCATAACTTAGTTTTTTCGTATGAGCATCCCATTCGTCAATGCTTTTCTCCTCTGAAATAAATGTCTAAATAAAACTTATTACTCATCACCTTATATATCCAACTTTAACATAACGAGTAAAATGCTGATACTACTATTTTTATCAGACACCTATGAGAAAAAAATCTTTTTATTTCTCTCTGTATACTATTGATGATTCTTATCTAATATATTGTGTAACTATCATCTTTTCTTTCTTTTTTTTCGTATAGTTTAATAATAGATATCATTTTTTAGCAATGCTAATCAATGTCGGATGACTGATATCTTTTACTTTTTTAGCAACTAAAGTACCTGCTTTTAATGTTGCTTTATGTATGTACATTCGTTCTTTTAAATATTTCATATCATCAACTAAGCAAGCATTATAGATTTGTTGAATAGATATTGAAAGTCGATTCCATGGTAGAACATCAAATGTTAATTGATTATTACGTATAGCTTTTAATGCATGATGTGTTTGTTTTAATAACCAATAATTATTATTTAATAGAATACTATGACCACATTTTTCTTTTAATTGACTTGACGCAGATCGTGTAAATATATTTAAAAAACACACAATATTATGTATAAATAAAACAAAAACTATAAACAAATAATATAAAGATAACATGTATAATTGTACGCATGCGCGCTTAATCTTCTTTTTTTTTTTTAGTTTCTTTTTAATATGACTAATGAAGCAGAAAACGAACATTAAATAAGAAAGAAACCTATGAGCATATTCATTATAATTATTAAGAAAATAAAGAGATGAATGACTATATGATAAACATTCTCAACATTGAGTAATCATAATGCACGATCTATTAGACTTTTAAATGAGATGTCCGCGATTTGACGTCTCATGATTATAAATGAACGTTATTTGAGAATAACGTTCAATAGAAAAAAAAACATAAAGAAAAATGACTAAAGTTCTGTTATTCATCAATCACTATATAAAGGCGACAATAGTAGGAGTCGTTTCCTTCCTAGTTTTCTTTTTTTACTTCTATAAATTAATCATTTTCCTGTATTGGATCAAAGAATATTCTTCATATGTGAGCATAACAAATAGGTTTTCTGCATTTAACAGAAAAAAATCTCTAAACTCTTTTTTTTTGTTCACTATATTTTTATTTTATTGTAGACAGAAAAAAGGAAAAAGATGGATTCTGATGCACTTATATCGTGTGGAGCAATGATGCTTCAATTTATTGCTGAATATTGGCGTTCAATTGAAAAACGTCCTGTTGTTGCAAATGTAGAACCAGGTTATTTACGTCAACTATTACCTGCTCAAGCACCTGAACAAGCTGAATCATTTTCATCAATAATAAATGATCTTGAATCAACAATTATGCGTGGTGTTACACATTGGCATAGTCCAAATTTTTATGCTTATTTTCCAACAGCTGTATCTTATCCAGCTATTTGTGCCGATATATTATCTGGTGGTATTGCTTGTATTGGTTTTTCATGGATAGCATCACCAGCATGTACAGAACTTGAAGCAATTGTTATGGATTGGTTAGCAAAAGCTTTGGGTTTACCGGAGTTTTTTCTTTCATCTGGCAATGGTGGTGGAATAATTCAAGGTAAATTTTTCTTCTATTCAGAAAGAAATACAGATGAATAAAAAACAAGCATTTAATATTTGAATGAACTAGGCACAGCTAGTGAAGCTACACTTGTAGCTTTACTTGCAGCTAGATCCAGAATTTTTAAAGAAAAAAAAACTGAAGATCCAACATTAACTCTTGGTCGTTTACTTGATCAATTAATTGTCTATTGTTCTGACCAAGCTCATTCATCAGTTGATAAAGCTGCACTAATCCTTGGATGTCGATTACGTAAAATTGCTTCGGATTCAGATTGTGTTATGCGTGGAGAACAAGTTGAAATAGCTATTGCTGAAGATCGTGCACAAGGTTTAATACCATTCTTTATAGTTGCTACACTTGGTACAACTCCAACTGTAAATACATATTAATAAAAATTAAAAAATAGTTCTATTGTTTTTGTTTATGATGATTCTAGTGTGCTTTTGATGATTTGGTTAGTGTTGGACGTGTATGTGAAAAAGAAAATTTATGGATGCATATTGATGCGGCTTATGCTGGAAGTGCTTTTATTTGTCCTGAATATCAACATTTATTAAATGGTATTGAATATGCTGAATCATTTAATTTTAATCCACACAAATGGATGTTAGTTAATTTTGATTGTTCAGCAATGTATCTTAAACATCGAACACATTTCGTTGATGCTTTTGATGTTGATCCACTCTATTTAAAACATGCATTTCAATCATCAGCACCTGATTATCGACATTGGCAAATTCCATTAGGACGACGATTTCGATCACTTAAACTTTGGTATGTTAGTCACAAAAAAAGAAAATTCTTTTCTCTAAATCATATTTATTTTAAGGTTTGTTTTTCGTACATTTGGTTTAGATGGATTACGAGCTTATATTCGTAAACATATTCAATTAGCTGATTATTTTATTGGTTTAATTAGTAAAGATGATCGTTTTGAAATTGTCTTTCCAGCTGCTGCACAACTTGGCCTTGTATGTTTTCGATTAAAAAATAGTTCAAATGAATTGAATGAACGTTTGTTAAAAGCATTACATGATGATAAACGTATTTATCTTGTACCATCAATGGTTAAACAAAAATATATTTTACGTTTAGCTATATGTTCATGGTTAGCAGAAGAAAAACATGTTAAATATGCTTGGGATGTTATTGAACAAGTTACAAATAAACTTCTTCTTTCATAATAAATATCCATTTTATTATACTAAATAAAAATACTACAGATGATTTCCATTTTTGAATAATAATTTATTGGTCTTTTAATATTTAAAAAAAGAACTATTGTTTGATTGGCATGTATTCTATAGCAATCAATCTCCATTTGTATAAATGAAATCTATTTATTATGTATCAGTTCATGACACATTATCACAAAGTAAAATTAATTATTCTTCATAGATTCTAAGAAAGTCATTAAATTCATTGACAAAACTTGCTCAAAAAAGCAAAGATTGCGAAAAAATCGAATTATTCAAATTGAAAGTAGCTCAATGTAAGAACATAGTCATTGTATATATATGCTTTCCTTCGTCAATATTTCGAGAAGAATGTAATGTTTTCTTTGATGTTTTGAAGATATAAATATCGCAAGCGTTCGATAATTATGTAAGTTTCTTGTTTTGATCGATCATTTGCTCAGTTGTAGTTATATGTTTTTCAGCATAAAGCAAAACTGAATGAAAAAAACGCTGTTAGCACAATCCTTGTCGGATTAAAATGTGAAACACAACATAGCTGCTTTTACTAATCACTGGAAGTTTGTTTCTTTTTATCTATTTTGGGATATATTTCTTCAGCATCCGTTTACTTAATCCACCAGAAATTCAATAAGGAATTAGTTTATATATTAAAACGACATTTTCTTGATACATGGTATGTCGTGCGAAAAGCAGATGGGTCCAATTTTTATCTCTTTATTTCAACACTCCCATAAGATCGTTTTTAAGAATGAAGTCTTTGTAGTGTGTCAAGTGAGCTGACGGAACAGTATCACACAGTAGGACAAAAAAAGCTCGGTTTGAATAACTATTTAGTCAAAAATGTGGAATATGATCGTATTTAATTTATATTTTAATATAATAGCTACTGTAACCATCGTTGAAGTGATGTCCAGCAGGATTTGTAAAGCTATAGTCAATAAAAAAAAAATATATAAATTTATACGTAGACATTACATTAATTTTGCTTTTAGATGAATATATCTGATGAAGGAAAATTTTACTGAAAACTATTCTTTTCTGAAAACAATAAATAACAAACTCTATTAATTTCTTGATTGATTTATCTAGAATGTTGTGCTTTATTAACCTTTTATAGAGAGGATCTACCTTGTTTGAAATTACTTATAATCAATGTGAGGTTTTATTGAAATATTCTACTGAGTAGAAAATGGCAAACCAAAAGTTTTGAGTTTTCAGCTATTAGTAACTTCAGTTTCTACAGTATCAGAAAAAGCATCAAGAGCGATGTTTATTCTCATTTTTTTCAAATTTGTTTTAGATCCATGTTGTTACTAGTGTAAACTTTGAATTTGTTCTTATGTATATTGATTTTTTCGTGATTACTCTATTTCTATCATTTTCGAAAAGAAAATTGTTTTGATATTAAAACTGTCACAAGAAAGTGATTAATGAATTTAATTCATATGATTTATTGAATCTCACAGCAATCAATCTATAGGTATATCTCTCTGTTTAACTGATTCGATGGGACATGATAATTTAAAACTAATTTCAACCATAAGGCACATATATGGATGCTGTTTACAAATAGAAATTGAATAAGTTCACTATCAATATTGAAATAGTCTACATCGAGGAAATCTTGCAATATGTTAATCTTCATTTATTATTTTAATGTTCCAATGCGTAGTAGCTACACTGTCTACTATAAAAAAAATCAAAATATCGAATTTCTCGCCGTCAAGAATAATTCTTTTATTTTGAAATATTAGGATGTACGTATAGGATGCTTGAATTTGAGTGTCGCTTGAGACAAAATCTACACTCAATAATTCAATTGAAACAATCATCAATTTGTACTTTCATATGAATAATATTTTATCTAATATTAAATGAACAGGATATTGAACTCATTCGGTCTCATTAAATTTTTAAAATAAGTTCAACCAAAAAATTTGTCTTTCTGTTATATGTTCAATTATTGAATATGTCAAGCTCGTAATCACAATATTTTTTTTTGGAATTTCCTTTTTTTGACTTATATATTTTCGACGACGTAAAACAAACAATCGAAGAAGAAATGAAAACTGACAGAGAACAAGCAAAAGAAAAGAAAAATGAATGTATTTTTGTTTTATATTCAGGAAAATTTACGAAGATGGTGATGTTCAGATCGTGATGTTGTCAATGTTTGATTATGACGATTAATATTTGATCGACGTTGAGAATTAGCTCGTTGATTACTTTTAAGTACATCACGATGTGTTTTATTTATATGCAGTGACATAAGATTAGCATCACAATAAGTTAATGAACATAATGGACAACGAAACCATGAACCACATGACGCAAGAACATTCATTTCCAAACATCTACACGAAAAACAAAATTTATAATAGAAATACAAATATACAATCTAATATAAAAGTAGCTGCACTCTCATAAAATGCTACTATTCTTTATTATATTGAGGTGATATTTTCAGTGCATACGTGCGACAATAAACCTTTATCAGAAAATGTACTATGACGGCATAAATATTCTGGTTGAAATCCGCATTTCACAGGGACATTGTCTTGTCATAGCTATCTTTAGTCCGAATTTAGTTTGAAACCACTTTAAAATAAATGAAATATTGTTTTTCTTTTCATTGACAATGTATGTTGAATGGTAAGTTTTGGTTTTTTTTAAGTAAGATGCATGTTTCTCATGACTTTGACAAGGGCATTTGAAAGTTCTGATTAGATGATAGATCTGGTCTGAAAATTTTACAGCCTCAACGTTGAATGAAGTCAAGTTATCCCTACGACAAGGATACACTATTCTCCCATATACTAATTACTAAAATCTTGATCATGACTTATAGACTTTGGTGTTATGAAATAGTAAAATGGCAAATAAAAACTTTCTGAGTACATATTTCATCTGAATATACTTTTTCATAAGGGAAAGGTATTGTGTG